CCACTAAACCATGTCCCTAAGTGCCTCATCTACACGTCTTTTAAATACCTCCAGGGATGGGGACTCAACCACTTCCCTGGGCAGCCTGTTCCAATGTTTCACCACTCATGCTCATCATATTCCCTCTCATCTGGTTTCTGACTAGCGCCAGAGAGCAAGGGGTCGTTCTGCCAGTAATACCACCAAAGACAGGAAGAAGGGTATCCCATGGAGCCTCGGCGCCGGACATGGGACACGTGGCTGTCCCCTCTCCGAGGGGCGAGCGTTTCCGCGTTCGGAGCAGCCTCTCGGCAGCCCACTGTCCAGTTGACCATCTCAGGAAGCCTCACCATGTCGGCCACCTGCGGAGCCACAGGGACGACAGCATCGCAAAGTGGCCTGTTTTCTGCCCCTTAAGTCTTTCGGCTGCCATTCGGGGATGGCCGGAGTGCCCTCAGGTCCTGTTGGTCGGTAGCGTTTGGGGAATGTTGGGTGGGATTCATCTCCTCTCACTTGAGCTGTGTCAAAGCTAGGAATCGCACCAAAAGAAGACTCTTCTTCCTCTGTAACCGACAAAGGGCGATTCACCCCATCCTCAAATAGCTGTTTGAGACTGGAAGGCCAAATTAGGCTTTTAACAGTCCTTAAATACCAACTCCATTTCATGCTTTTCTTGTTTTCATCCCCTTGCTTAGGAAATGAGTCAAAGTCAAGAGACTTTCAAACCAACTGAAATCATCCATTGGCATGGATCTACCGAACCAACTTTTATCCTGTTTAAATTTGTCTTCTCCCTTTCTCCACCTGTATTTTTATTACCATATGTTTCCTATAACCAGCTTTTTATAAAGGAATAACACATTCCACCAGCCTTTACACTGGGGCAACTTGGAAGTTACTGTATTTACCCAAATTGGAAGCAGAGTAGGAAAAATTAAGAAATAGGCTGGATATCCCAGATAATTTTTCTTTTGCAAAGCTGCTGCCCCTATCTTGTACGAGCTGTTGCAGCCACCTCAGCTCCGTATGCCTCCCCTGCCAGGTCCGGCTCCTCTATCCAGCTCCTCTCGCTTTGCTGCCTCCCGATTCTTCCCATCTGCTGACATACCCTGTTCTTCTTGCCTCAGAAGGACTCATCACATGAAAATGTCGCTGACATAAGTCAGCATATCGCCACACTGACAATGTTGCATGATTTGCCATCCAGACCTATGAGACAAGCATGTCACCCAAAGCCACCCTGTCCAACGGGACCATCTTTACCTCAGGTAATAGCTTCTGCGTACACCTATTTAGCATGAAATTCACACAACCCTTTTCATTTACAGCATTTCAGAACAGAAATATGAAATTACACCTGTACCGCGCGCAGACAGACCCAAAATCTCTTAGAGTTTTAACCGCTGACCTTGGCAACGTGCGGTCTGATATACATTGCTGTGTGCAACCAATTAATTTGGCTGTAAAGATAAGTCGCAAAAACACGGCAACGTGTGGCTCTGCACCACAGCAACGGCACATGGGATAGCGAGTTAGCCGGTCACCCCCTCTCCGCCCTCTTCACACCTCCCACGGCGCGGCCAACATGGCCGCCCTGGCGCCCGCCTCACGCGCCCCTTCCCGC